ATACATGCCCGAGGCCACAAAAATGGTGTATATTTTTTCTATACCTTTTGGTAGACAAGATGTTAGGCTTCAAAGCTTCCTAGTCTCTGATTTCACTAGGATTTTGTACAAGTGGTCAAAATCTGACTTTAGCAAAAACAGGACTGGAGGCCATTGCAAATTTTAATATCTTGAGGCTGAAGCATGTTGGCCAGACTTACATGGAAAAGTGTGCTTTGATAATTATCCCATAAATAAGTAGAAGACATCAGTTTTCAGGCATATCTTTGACTTCTAGGCAGATCTATAACTTTAATTTTGGATGTCTGCCCCTGTGTTTTGTTATTTTTCTCTGTAAGAGCACAAATATATGGCACAGGGCACGAGCTTGACTAAGTCTGAAAGAATCACCACTTACGTATCACTCTTCATGTTCATTTGTATTAGGGAACTTTTTGACATACACCATTTTTGACTAACATATGTTTAGGTCATCTAAGTCATTCTGGAGGAAAGCATCTCAAAATTGCTTCATGTTTTTCAGGGCAATGGTTCATTAGTGAAAGAAGAATCAAACCGAACCAGAGAAGTAAATAATTCTCCTGGCAGGATGTCTTCCTTTAGAAAACAGGTGATCTGATGCCATTTGCTCAAACAAATGAAAGCATAAGAACACTGAACTCAACAATGCCAAAATTGCCTTTAAAAAGTACCAGTGCAAAAGGAAAACAAAACGTTCTCAGCTGGTCTAAGGTCACTGAGTTTTTCTGATGGTCCTAAAAGGTAACAGAACAGCAGACTTGAATGTACTTGAAAGATGTGCTTGAATCAGAGCTGCTGAGTGCACAAAGAGGATTCAGATCTCAAAAAGGTGGAGTACAAACTGTCCTTCCCCTCTCACCTGACCATTTTTCTCAAAGTCTCAAAGTGTAGAAAACAGCAATTTTAAGGCTTGGATAATTCAAAAGCAGTTTAGCAGATTTTCTCCAACCTTTCCAGAATTATTTTTTCCTCTGGGCTGAGACCAACTGTGAGCAATTTCAGCCCAAAAGGCAATTTTTTTGAAAAAATTATAACCTGCTGAAAGGGGAGGTTTAGAATGAAAATATTTTTCAGCCATAACTATTCTCCATCAATTTTTAACACTTTAATGAATGCATTATTAAACTACAGTTTATGGTATGAATTATGTATATATAATGTATAAATGCGTATGTTAGTGTATATGTAATGCAGTAGCCAAACATTATGGAAAAGGGTAAGCTTTCTGAATAACAATAAGTGTAAGCAAAACATATGTAGAAACAGAAGAGATACTATACAACTATTTACAAGAATCCATCTTTACAAATGAAAGGCTCTGACATTTGCCCAGATCAAAAATCCAATTTTACAGCACTGGGAGATAAGGAATTAAATAGAGTGCAGATATCATCTAAACTGGTATTAAAAGGTTAGCAGTGCTTAAAATTGATTAGTTACCAAGACCAGACAGCCTACATCCCAGGCTGTGAGAATAGTATTGGACAGATGTTGCAGAAGCTTTAGCTGTCATTTCAACAAACTCTCTGGCTAGGCAAGAGCTTCGCAGATTGCAAAGTGGGGAGAATAACTGTTACAAGGCAGGCATCCCAGCATGTTACACAACAGCCAAGTTAACAACAGTTGGAAAAAAAACATCAAAAACCTTTAAAAAGACTTAGTAGATGATACGGGCTCCATACCTAAGGGAACAAAAGCACCGTGCAATTTCGGAATTAGGAACCGGTTGGTTTGGAGAAGGAAAGGCTGTGAATGGATAAGTCCTTTGGAAACTAAAAGATCAGAGAACCAAGAGATATGTCAGGATATAGATGAGTACCATACACCAAATTTCAAACTATGGCAGGTTATGTAAAGATATCCAGGAAAGATCACACTCTCTCCAAGATTAATCTAAACTACTTACTGCTTTCCTAGCAGTCATCAAGGCAGGGGAAAAAAAAAAACAAACCAACAACAAAATAAATTTTTAAAGACAGACAAAAAGTTAACACTGGGACATGGGTGTGTCATTTTCATCTCCAAGAAATGTCACAGATGACAGCAGCAAAAGCAGTATGTGACTGCTGACAAAGATGAGTTCGTTACCAGGATTAATAGCAAAAAGAATTAAAAAGTCAGAAAGGGCTAAGGACTAGTTAGATATTTGGTAGAACATGATGATGCAAACTCTTACTGAATACAGACACAGTAAATATAGCAAATAAGTCTATAAGTCATTTCATGGTAAATTTTAGTTTTGCCATTATGGATTTGCCATGAAGAAAATGTGTCAAAAACTTATGAATCATAAGGAAAATATAATGAAGTGTCAAAGCACCTATTTACCTTTAAAATACAAGAGAGTATTAAACAAAGGAAAGCAAAAGGAAAGCAAAGAAGTTATTCTGCACCCGTAGAGAAATCAGACAGCGCTTCAGTAATTAATATTTATTACTTATGGCACCTTTCACACATTGAAAATGCTGAACAAATACCAACTGACCTGTACAACACTCCTACAATACGTGATACACATAATTTTGGAAATTACTGTAGGGAGCTGGCAATGAAATAAAGTCCTGGAGATCCTCCCTTGTGGGGAAAAGCATTGCACATGAGGTGAGGCTGCCATGTAGGGACTGCATAGCACACCTGAGGACAAAATTTACACCGAAAGTGGAGAGACAGAGGAAGAGGGGAAGACAAAAAGGTGGGCAAACCTCCACAGGATATGCAACCGAGATGCTTATAAATGCAAGCAGCAGAAGCTGATTTTGACATATGGGTATTTTCACGTTTGGAGGTAATTGCATTCAAGTTGAGCGCAGCACCTGCAGGCAAAGCCTCAACAGAAAATGGAAAAAGCTGTTTTCCCACCAGCACGTAGAATCATAAAATGTCCTGAGTTAGAAGGGACCCACAACAATCATTGAGTCCAACTCCTGACTCCACACAGGACAAGTTAAACCATATACCGAAAAGCATTGTCCAAACACTTCTTGAACACCAACAGGCTTTGGGCCATGACCACTTCCCTGAGGAGCTTGTTCCAGTGCTTGATCACCCTCACGATGAAGAACTTCTTCCTAATAACCAATCTGAACATCCCCTGATGCAGCATTAAAGCATATCCTTGCATCCTAAAAGCGGACACCAGAGAGAAGAGATCAGCACCGCCCTCTCGGATCCCCCTCATGAGGAAGTTGTAGACAGCAACGAGGTCTCCCTTCAGCCTTTTCTCTAAGCTGAACAAACCTAGTATCCTCAGCTGCTCCTCTACAGCCTTTCCCTCTAGTCCTTTCACCATCTGTGTTGCCTCCCTTTGGACACACTCTAATATTTTTATATCCTTCTCACCTTGTGGAGCCCCAAACTGCACACAGCAATCAAGGTGGGGCTGCACCAGTGCTGAGTAAAGCAGGACAATCACTTCTTTTGACCAGTTAGCTGCACTGCACTTAATGTACCCCAGGTTGGCCCTTTTGGCTGCCAGGGCACATTGTTGAGACACATAGAGCTTCCCATCAACCCAAAACCCCAGATCCCTTTCTGCAGGGCTGCACTCCAGCCCCTTGTCCTCCAATCCACACATACATCCAGGATCACATCGTCCCAGGTGCAGAATCCTGCATTTGTCCCGGTTAAATGTCATACGGATGGTCATTGCCCAGAGCTCCAATCTATCCAGATCTCTGTGTTAGGCCTCCCTACCCTCGGGGGAATCAACAGCTCCTTCTAATTTAGCATTATCAGCAAACTTCATGTGGACTCAACTCCTGTGTCCAGTTCATTGACAAAAACATCGAGGAGAACTGACTCTCCAGGAGTGGATGGCTTTGCTTGTTTCTTTTAATTGGGAGCGTGGGGTTAAAGCCAAAGACCGAGAATCAGTTCATGGCCTCCACCAGCTCAACTCTCTGCTTGAGACTGATTCATTATAAACCAGCTTTCCTGCAGCTTAGTTTACCCGCCTGTAAACCAGGTAATTCCGAGCCAGACAATCAGCTGTGAACTGGCACAGCTCCACTCAGTTCCCAGTCTCAGAAGGGGACATATTTGGCCAAAATTAAGAATCATGCATCCCCGGTGAGGCAGGCAGAGTGATTTACATCATGACCTGGCTCACCACAGCCATGCCTACATGGACAGGAGCAGACATGACAGGACGCTGCTCTGATCCAGATGTTGCACTGCTCTTCTTAAGCCGAAGTGGCAATGCAGCTTCCAGAGGGGATCTGTCATATGCCTGGCATGTGGCTTGTGTCTATAGGGCATTCATCCACATAAAAATAATTTTTCTTTACCTCACAGGAGCAATGAAGTTTTATTAAGTCCTCTACTGTTGACAATGAAGTCTGATATGTCCAGGCTTGTCTGTGGAACATTGCTGGTTTCAAAATATTATTTTTATTATTGTTAGAATGAGCGATCCCCTGCAACACTCTCCCAAACTATGAGTGAAATAACAAAATCAAACAAGAATAACCTCTTGAAATTCAATTTGTGGAGTCAGGCAGAAAGTAAGTAAGTACAAACCTGATAGGAAAGCTTTACTTCACTAATATAAACTGAGCGTAAGAATTGAACGGGCTTCATGATTTTCTGCCCAATTAACACAACTTCAAAATCTTTCTCTGGTCAAGAGTTCCCAGCCTAGGTTATTCCTTGGCAGAGCCTCAAGACATCCTGCTTCAACAGAGAGACAGAAACAAACGTTTCTTATACATGACCTGCCTCCTGGTCTTGAGCCAGCATAAGGATCGACAGTTTAGTTGTTTAATTTCCCCAAAGAGTTTTGGCTTTTCCACAAGGTTAAAACATAATATGGATTATATACCTACTGCAAGAAGAGGCTAATGCACAGTACGCGATATTAATCATAGGTGATGTTTTCAGAATATAAAAATATAATATCCTCAGAAATCATTCCATGTATTTTTAAAGACCCGAAGAATTCATGGACGGTATGAGAGATCTCTTAAATTTTTAAACCTTACCTGTCACAAGCTGTTGTCCAGCTAGTCCTACTGGAACCATCCCCAGGTTATTCATAGCTGTAGCCCAAGCCGTTGGATCAGTGACTGACATGTTAAGTTGTGTGGTATCTATAGCTATACTTCCCAAGCCATCAGCTGCTGCAAGAAAAGAAACACATTGTAAGGAGAAAAGTCAGCGTGCCAGGATTTTTAACCAAAATCTTCAGTGAAAATGAGATATCACAACCACTGCATATTTTGGGTTTGTTTTGTTTCAGAATTGTGATTCACCTTTTAGACCATTGATAATAGTGCTTGGTATTGTATAGCAAAACATAAAGACATTGGAAACATTCAACAGACATAAAATGAAACAAGAGTGGTTCAGGCTGGTTATACAGAAAACTTTTTCGCCATGAGGACAGTCAAGCAGCGGAACAGGCTGTGCAGTTGCCATCCTTGGCAGCTTTCAAGACTCAACTTGATAAAGCCCTCAGCAACTGGTCTGACCCTATGGCTGGCCTTGCTTTCAGCGGGAGGTTGGACTGGAGACCTCCTGAGGCTCCTGCCAACCTGAATGAATCGTCCTGCAATCCTCTGATATAATTTAATTTTCTATAATCTCTGGCAACTTCTCAGAAAGCTATGAGAACCAAACACCCTCCAATGAAAGACCTGTTTTCCACGAGTTGCAATGTTTTTTGGTAAAAGATTTAAGAATATATCAGTCCCTAACTAAAAAGAGGTCAAACCAAATTGATTCACTATGGGAAATATAAAGTTTTGTTCTAAAACCAAAAAAAGAATTATCATGAATATGGTCAAAATAAGCTGAGCCTAGGTATAGATTTTCCTGGATTGGGGAAGGAAGAGTGGGTCAGATAGCTAAGGGATGTACCTTTCTGATACCGAACCTCCAAACACAAGGTGTTATCACACGTTTGTGCTTCCCTCCTCTCCAGTCACAGCTGAAATCAGCTCTTTCCAGCTATTTTCTTATGGCCTTTGCAGACCTGAGATATTTACCGGCAGCCATTGCTTTTCCCCAGTTCCTTTTGCTCCTGTTAGACTTCTTCAGCTAGGAATAATTAACTACTGTATTAGCAGCATCTTGAGATGGGATGTCACCGAATGCAGGGCCCACACACGGCTCATTAGGCTCTGAAACAGAGAAAAGACGAAGTCAGCTATCAAGTGCCGCAGTCAGAACACAGCTGCAAAACAACAGACCGCTTTGGGAATCCACTCGAAGCTCCTGCCCGCTCCTGCTGGATCGCCAGCCCCAGCCTCCTTGCACGCATTTAGCGGCCGCTGTAGAGGCGTTTCA